GGTTTCCCTCACCTGCATTTCTTCGATCTGCACTTGAGTCGCCCTCAGCTGCACTGCCTTGGCGGCCAGGTGGGCCCTGAGGGCGGCAACGCTCGTCTCATTCTCGGCGCAGGCAGCGTTTGGGTTGAGGTTGGGAGTTCTGTACGTGCGACTCAGCAGCCGTCGCACTGAGGCTAATTCTGCAGCAACTGCTGGCGCTGTTTTTGCTGCTGCTGGTGCATCAAGATGGGTGTGCTGCATGCTTCTCCTTCTGCTGTTACTGCTGCCAACGCCGCCGCCGCTGCTGCCACTGCCGCTGCTGATGCTAAGTTCTTTCTCTCCCCTCTCGTCCAGACTGAGCAGGGAACGAGTCGCGGCATGCAGAATACTACTCAGCACTTGCAGCTCCTCCGGCCCTCTATGGGTTGCAGCTGCAGCGCTGGCATACTGTGGCAACAGCTTGCCATGTTGGGCGTTGGAGGTCTGGGTTCGAATCTCAGAGCTGGAGGAATGGAGTAACGGCAGAGTCTGAGGTGCGGTGGTGGTAGTGGAGGTGGTAACGGTGGCTGACGTGGCAGATGACGTGGAGGGATGAGATTGTGAACCTGAAAATATGGCGGACATTGCTGCTACTTCAGCTCCCAACTCTGAAAATAGGCGGTGACGAGAGGCATGCATACAGTTGATACAAGTGGTGGATGCTTGCATAAATGGTGTACAGTTTAGTAGTAAAAAGCAAACAGAAGAAAGAGCAGAAGCTCGATGACAATACAAAAGCGAATGAAACGCCACAGAAACCCCAGACCCTGAACCCGGAAACCCCTGAAACCCTGCTGCTACCTGCTCACCTTCCCGCCATTTCCTTAATCTTTGAAGCTCCTCCCGGCACCTCTGCTGCTCTCCCCGTCTTTCCCGGCAATAGATTGAAGGGACGGGATGGGGAGGGGGACGACTGGCCGTGAGTAATCTCAGAGATCCTATCCACCCACCAGACCAGACGTGAGCAACAGATTGAACCACGGTTCAGTTTGGTTTGGTTCGGTTCAAACCGGTTTGCCGCCAACCAAGCTACTCCGTTCTATTTCTTCCCGTGTTCCACTCGAATCCGATCCGGCCGTCTCGGCTCAAAAACATCCCAAGCCGCGTTGAACCGTGAGCCATGCAAGCCGCGTTGAACCGTGAGCCATGCAAGGCGCGTTGAACCGTGAGCCATGCAAGCCGCGTTGAACCGTGAGCCATGCAAGCCGCGTTGAACCGTGAGCCATGCAAGCCGCGTTGAACCGTGAGCCATGCAAGGCGCCTCTTTAGGTAATAGAAACGAAGAGCCGAGCTCAAAGTCGTGCTCCCACTCTCTCTTCCAGCATTCCCTCCACAACCCCTCTCCCATCCACAACCCCTCTCCCATCCACTAATTAGAGCAATCTCGTGGCCATCAGGTGAAACCGCCTGTGCGGTGACGTTCGGTTCGGACCGGTATGGTATGGTCCAACCCATACGGGTCGAACCAAGAAGCGGTATGCAGCCTCACAAACTGGTTCGACCTGAACCGGCGTGGTTCGCGCGAGCGAAAAACAAACCGGTTCTGTCTCGCCTGCTCTCTGCTCCTCCTCGCTTTTCCGGCATTGTGAGGAGGGAAGTGTGGAACAACGGAAAGGAAGGGGTGGGTGGAGGGGTAAGGAAGGGGCACTCGAGGGGAAAAGAAGGGCTGTTTCTGAGGAGCATGAGACAAAAGTCTCGTCTCTGCTGCTCCTCCCGCCTTTCCCAGCAATGTGCGGGAGGAAGGACGTATGGGACGAAGGGAAGGATGGGGGGGAGGAGGGCGAGGGGCGGGGGGGGGGGGCGGAAGACAAATGGAAGGGACGGAGAGGTAGGGACAAGTAGTGGGGGTTGGGTTGGGTGTGGGCGGAGGAGGGGGGAAGTCAGGGGGTGAGGGGGGAAGGAGGAGGGGACTAAGAGAAGGAAGGCGCGGGGAGAGGGTTGGGGGAGGGTGAAGACAAAGAGGGAAAGGGAGGGGCACAAGGGGGGAGGGGTGGAGGGGAGGGGGGGAGGGAGTGGGAAAAAGGGAGCGGGGGAAGGGGTACGGGGGAGGGGGGAAGGGGGGTAAGGGGACAAGGAAGGCACGGGGGGAGGGGAGAGGAGAGGGAGGGGGGAGGGGGGGGGAGAGGGGGGCCGGGGGGGGGGGGGGGGAGGGGAAGGGGGGGAACGGGGAAAGGGTAGTTCTGTTTGGCGCGCCTTAAATGTTCCATGCGGGCGCGAAAAGGGGGAAAAGAAGACGTGGGGCTTGGAAGGGGGAAAGGGAGGGGAAGCGGGGGAGGATGGCGAAAGCTATCAATTACGAAATCCTCCTGCCAAAAGCTCGAGTCTATAAGAGCTTTTGAAGAAAAAGCTGCGAACCCTAATTACCTCGAGAAGGCTAGCAGTTTCGTGATTCTCCGAATCGCCGCTCCCAGCGTGATCCTGCCTTTTTCTGACGGGGGCTTCCGAGTCGCGTCAACCGTGATCCCGCCATGGCTCGACGGGAATTCGTCCAACGCCGCGTGTGAGAGTTCGCTCAAGGGTGCGAAGACGAGAGTTCCTAGCAACGCTGCTGCGACAAACGCGGCGAGAAGCGCGGGAAACGACGGCATTGGATGCGCGGAGGATGGCAGGGGGGACCTATGACTTGGCATGGACAGCCAGGATTACTCTCGATCAGCGTACGATCTCCCACCGTACGGCCGCGTACCAATACAGCGCGGAAAGCAAATATGCTATTTCTGCCCCCAAAAGGAAAAGTCACCGGCACATTGGGGAAAAGGGCGACTCATGCTGACGCGATTCAGAAATCTTTCTGCTTTATTCAGAAATCTTTTCTTTTCTGCTAAGATGGCTTACTCACTGAATTAGTACTTCGACTACCGTACGAGGTCGCGCTTGGCTAATGGCGCCACCAAATTTCGTGGGAGGGAAAGGCGCTTCCAAATATATGTACTGGATATACTGCACTATCTTGGTCAGTCTTGCAATTTTACCACTCTTTGGTTTCACCTGCCGTTTCGGCGAGAATAAATACGTATGTAACCAGACTCGTCGAAGCCAAGAGATGTTCGTCACAACTGCAACGGGTTTCCAGACATGTTTCAGAGGTCCAATTCTTTCGAGTTCAATTGAAAGGTCAAGTACTCAGGCAAGGCTTCGCTAAAGCTGAACTTGTTTAGATAATGCAGAGAAATATTGAGTCTGGGAATAAATTAAGCTATACCGTTTCTGTAATCTCCATGAAAGAACACGTCATAAATATGCGGTCACCTATAAAATGTACTACATATAATTCCATAATATTCACATAGATCCTTAACAATATGTTTTATTGCAGACAACACCATCTTCGGATTATGTTGTGATTTGGCCGGTTTCATATTATAGCAGATGTTGAATGTTAACAGATTGCGGATGATACCGCAATGTGCGCAACTCCAATAATTGTCCCAGAAATGCGACGCGATGCGATTTGGAATGGATGCCGTGGGAGTCATGACTCCACAATTCCTTTCTGCGAACCCTGGCAGCTGCTTTGCGAAGCTAAATTTCCCTTCTGCGACAGGAAGAAACGAAACGACCTGCCTACATGACATATCCAACGAAACAAATCAAGCGAAACTACTTCCCAAGTTGAGCTAAATGGTGCTACCAGTCGCTCACTCCAGCTCTCCTCTCCTCCCACGAGATTCGTGTTTGACAATTATCAGAGCAGGCGTGTGTATGGTCTGCCGAAATAGTCAGTCTGTTAGCATGATCTCGACAACCATGACAGCCCCGCAACTTCGCGACGCGGCTGCTTCGCTGTGTGATTTCGACTTCAGACGTGCCGCACTTCTCGCGGGTACTAGAGCTGCAATCCTCGCAACATTATATCACACCAGCCGGCTTCAACCAACATTATCTCGTCGCAAGCTGATGCTTCTCGAATCGCGTCACTAATTGCAGCGCGAACCCTCACTCTCGCGCATTACCATTATTGCGTGGTCCCGTTCCACGTTATTTCTTCGGATTTCCGCTCGAAAATACCCCACGAAGAGACGCCAAGCGCACATCACGGTGATCTCCCAGCACGGAACATGGCACATGACGATTATATCGCCACACTTGTCAGCCCACCGCACCAGTTATCATGCGGTGCGCTTCGGCGTTGGAGCGGAGCGCGTTCGTTACTGTGGTGCATCCGTGGCATCGGATGGGGGGGAAGATGAGGGGAAACAGCGTTGGGAAAAAAGGGGTTGGGGGGTAGGAGGGAACAACCCGACAAATGAGCCCATCGCGACGAGCCTAGGCAAGCGCATCACCCATCGTTGCGCCAGCTCCGCAGGGTTTGCGCCTGGACCTTTCCGAGGGACTCTAGAGTCGACTCAAAAGACCTTGCGCCGGACCCATTGTCGCAGCTCCGCCGCAGGGATTGCGCCCGGGGGGCATTGGCGCGCGCGCCATTGGCGCATCTCCGCGGCGGGAGATTTGCGCCTGGGGCCGTCCGGAAGGAATGGGAGTGGTTGCGCGTGAGTTGCGCTGGCGAGGATGACGGGTCATAGAGAACCCAGGGCATCAAGAGCATAAATACGAGGTTGCAAATCGAGCTGGAGCATCGCAGTTTCAGAAGCCGGTTTAGTAACTTCAAGTAACTTTACTAATCGAAAGTTTCGATTTGCCCGTCCCTGCGTCCTTTTACCGAGAATTTCGTCGGTATAGTATCTTTCCAAGTGGCACTTTTCCGCCCCCGATCTCGCAGCGTCCGGAGTACACTTGAGTCGTCCCAGGAACAATCCACGCTGCCGCAGTAGCAGGAGCGATTCCCGGGCAACAGCATCAGCAACAGCTTGAGTCCATATTGCCGGAGTCCATATTCGAGGCGCCTAATAACGAGGATACTTGCAGCATCAGCCATGGCGCGCCGCAGCCCCCGCGCACCGTGCGTCGTCCTCCTCGTGTTCTTCGTCGTTCTCGTCGTCAACCCCGCGCGCGCCGCCTTCCCTTCTCTTCCGCGGCGGGCGATGATGTTTACCGAGGGTCCCGCCGACGTGCCGAGTCGCCACGCGCTGCGGGGTGTACCGGCGGCGGCTTCCGCCGACGTCCTGCCGCCGCGGAGGGCGCTGATTTCCGCCGTGGGCGTCGACGGCGCCCCGGAGACGCTTTCCGCGCGCCTGCTTGAAGAGGCGAGCGCGGACGGCGGAGACGGGATGGCGGAAGGCGGAGAGGCAGAGAATCTTGACGAGGGGAGGGTGCTTGCTTCAGAAGAGTCGGGGGAGGCGGAGGAGGGCGCGTGGGAGCGCGCAAGTGCTGTTGCGGAAGAGGCGGAAGAAGGTGTGGCGGAAGGGGAGGAGGGGGAAGCGGGGGTTGAAGAGGGCCGATTCTTGGCAGAGGAAGAAGGGCAGATGGGGGATGCGGAGGCGGTAGAGGGGGAGATGGGGGATGCTGGGGGGGAGATTGAGGAGGGGAGGGTGTTGGAGGAGGAAGTGGAGGGGGAGAATGAGGATCAGGAGGACGGGGAGATGCAGGAGGGAGAGGATATTGAGGAGGGAAGGGCGCTTCAAGAGCAAGGAGAGTCCGAGGAGGTTAATAATCTGGAGGCAGATGAGGAAGAAGAGAATGAGGAGGAGGGGGAGATGCAGGAGGGGAGGGCACTCGCGGAGCAGGACGATTTTGAGGAGGAGGGTGAGTGGGATGAGGATGCAGAGGAGGAGGAAGAGGAGATGCAGGAGGGAGAGGGGCTTGAGGAGGGGAGGGTGCTGATGGGGGACGACGGCGAGTCTGAGGAGGTTGGTGCTTTGGCGGGAGAGGAGGAGGAGGATGAGGAAGAGGAGGAGGGGGAGATGCAGGAGGGGAGGGCACTGGCGGACGAGGAGGGTGTATGGGACGAAGATGGTGAGGAGGAAGAGGAGGAGGAGATGCCAGAGGGAGAGGAGATCGAGGTGGGCAGGACGCTGCAGCAGGAAGAGGATTCCGATGAGGCTGGTTTTTTGAAGGCCGAGGAGGAGGCAGAGGAGGAGGGAGGAGATATGCAGGAAGGAGAGGAGATCGAGGTGGGTAGGGCGCTGCAGGAGCAAGGAGAGTCCGAGGAGGAAGAGGAGGTACAGGAGGAGCAAGAAGATTTCAGCGATGAGGAAGAGGAGGAGGAGGGGGAGATGCAGGAGAGGCGTGCTTTGGCCGAGATTGACGATTCTGAGGATTTGGATGGGGAGGAGGATGCGGAAGAGGGAGAGGAGGAGGGAGAGATGGAGGGGCGGGCTTTGGCAGAGCTTGACGATTCTGAGGGTGTGAATGAGAATGAGGAGGAGGAGGAGGATGAGGATGAGGACGAGGAGGGCAGGGCTTTGGCCGAGATCGACGATTCTGAGGATTTTGATGGGGAGGAGGATGAGGAAGAGGGAGATGAGGAGGGGGAGATGCAGGAGGGACGGGCTTTGGCAGAGGTCGACGATTCTGAGGGCGAGGATGAGGAGGAGGTGGAAGAGGAGGAGACAGAGATGCAGGATGAGGAGGAGGGAGAGATGGAGGAGGGGCGTGCTTTGGCCGAGCTTGAAGATTCTGAGGGTGTGAATGAGGATGAGGAGGAGGAAGAGGAGGCAGAGATGCAGGATGAGGAGGATGGTAGGGTGCTTCTGGCAGAAGAGGAGGAGGAGGGAGAGAGTGAGGAGGAAGAGGAGGAGGAGGCCGATATGCAGGAGGGGATGGAGGAGGATGGTAGGGTGCTGCTGGCAGGAGAGGACGATGAGGAGGGCGAGGAGGGAGAGAGTTTTGGGAGTGAGGAGGAAGAGCGGTGGGGTGAGGAGGGGATGGCGGATGTGGCTTAGACAGCAAGAGGGCGTCCGAGTGATGCAACAGTTTCAGGTGAGGGAGAGCAGTGGGAGAGCATTGGGAAGAGCAGTGGGGTGAGGAGGAGGGGATGGTGGATGTGGCTTAAACATCAATAGGGCGTCCGAGTTTCAGTTGAGTTTGAAGCTTGCTTTTGAGTCAACACAAAAACAGACGCATCACATGTGGCTTAGGGAGCATCAGGGCGTCCGAGTTTCAGGTGAGTTTTGAGTCGACTCAAAATGTGTCGTGTGCCATGGTAACGAGGTGACTTTTGAGTCGACTCAAAAGAGTGAGGTGGAAGAGCAGTGGGCTGAGGAGGAGGGGATAGTGGATGTGGCTTAGACGGGAACAGGGCGTCCGAGTTTCCGGTGAGTTGTAAGCCAATGCAGAGATGATGCGCGGATTTCCAGCAGAGTTGCAATCCAATGCAACACAACTGACGCACGAGTTTCAGGTTGAGTTGTAAGCCAATGCAAGAGCGATGCAAGAGTGATGCAAGAGCGATGCAAGAGTGATGCAAGAGCGATGCAAGAGTGATGCAAGTGCGTTCCCATGCTTCCAGCAGAGTTGATGAACACAACTTATGCACACAAGTAAGTTTCCGCATCTCCTTTTCCCATGCTTTTGCAGGGTTTCCACTTGATCAACGGGGGCCATGCTTTTGCAGGGTTTCCACTTGATCAACGGGGGCCATGCTTCGGGAAAGTGGTCTGTGGTAGACGGTAGATGGCTGACAAGTGGACAGGCATGGATTGACAGGGTGGAACAGTGGCCAGGGGTTGGGAGGAACGACAACCCACAATAAGCTAGAATAAGGTTGAATATGAGCTGCTTTCGAGCAGTTTGTTTTGGCCAACTGCTCCTTTACTCCGGTTGCACTAGAGGAAGCAAGTTTCCCTCTTTTCTTCTCTCACCTTTTGCTTGCATGGTGTGACCTTGTTAATCAGCGCAGCATGTGTGGTGTGTCTGATGTGGTGATTCTAGTGGCTGGTTTGCTGTACTCTCCTTTTATTACTATCGTTACCCTCTGATACCATGTGTATTTCACTGTAGCGGGAGGTCACAGCTGCTCCGACCTTCAACCTAACGCAGAACAGAGTGTGAACTAGGAGTATGACACTTGAAGAGTTTACTTCTGAGTCGACTCGAAAGTCAACTTAGCGGGAGGACATGGCTGCTACGACCGTCAACCTAATGCAGAACAGAGTGTGTGAACTAGGATATAACACTTAAGAGGAACGAACCAGTATGGTAGCACTGCAACCGATACCAAGGTTCTTCCCTCCCCTAAGTTTCTCAGCAGGGCAGGGAGGGACTCCCCACTGGTGTAAAAATAAGGGATTTTTTCTTTGCAAGCCTGTATCTCGACCTCAAGTTGGCTGTGATCTTTCTGCTACTGTAACTGCAGCCTGTACCGTAGATGATGGCAGAACTACCACAACTATCATGATGCTGCTTTTTCTTGCTGGAATACCGTATGTTTATCCCCCCATAAGAGTTTCTTCTGTGCTCCTCCAACATTCCTTTCCTCATCAGCAAGGAACCTCGGGAGCTCACCTCACGTTCCCCTGACGACCTCACGTTCCCCTGACGACCTCACGTTCCCCTGACGACCTCACGTTCCCCTGACGACCTCACGTTCCCTTGACGACCTCGCTCCTGGGGACATCAGAAGATAAGCAGTGCAGTTCACCTCACTTCTGTAAGCGGAGTTTATACTTTCCACCCATAAAACTCACGTCTTCACCTTTCAACGCATAAAAGCAGAGTTTAGTTTTTCACTGCACCCTCCAACGTAGTATCAGCTTTCATATCAGCTGACATTGTACCATAGCATTTGATTAGCACAAAGAGATTATTTGCCAACTAGTGTCAAATCTCCATACTTCAGCAGCTTGCCTCCTCTATCAGCTGCCCGGGGGCAGGAAAAAAACCTCGGGCAGTTAGAATTGCCGAGACAACTGAAGTGAGTGCCATAGGCACCAGCAAAAAGAAAGTAACACTTAACTGAAGGTTAACTGCTTCTTGCGGCGGCATCCCCCCCATAAGCATCCCCACCATAGCGCCAGGAAGCTGAATCACGCCGTAAGTCTTTATGTAGTCTAGTGTCGGCCCGAAACCCACTGCTACGGCCTTCCGAATGAGGGGAAGGGAGGCCTGCCATTGGCTTGCACCTAAAGCCAGTGCTGCTTCCACCTGGAAACAAAGGTGGGAGAACGGGGAAGGAAGCAACAACTGAGTGTTGAATGTTACACAGTAAAGGTTCAAACCAAAGGCCACTGCTACGGCCTTTCGAATGAGGGGGAGGGAGGCCTGCCATTGGCTTGCACCTAAAGCCAGTGCTGCTTCCACCTGGAAACGAAGGTGGGAGAGCGGAAAAGGAAGCAACAACTGAGTGTTGAATGTTACACAGTAAAGGTTCAAACCAAAGGCCACTGCTACGGCCTTTCGAATGAGGGGAAGGGAGGCCTGCCATTGGCTAGCACCTAGAGCTAGTGCTGCTTCGACCTGGATTGGAAGTGAGGGGATGCAAAATGGGAAGAAGTGGGAAGGAGTGGGAAGGAGTGGGAAGGAGTGGAAAGAGGAGAGGTGGGGCGAAAGCCCACTGCTACAGCCTTTCTGGCTTGCGCCTAGAGTCAGCGCTGCCTCTACCTGGATTGGAGGTGGGGGGGAGTGAAGTGGAAAGAGGAGAGGTGGGGCGAAAGCCCACTGCTACAGCCTTTCGGATGAGGGGAGAGAAGCCTGAACCTGCGTTGCGTGTAGAGCTACTGCCGCTTCTACCTGGAAACAAAAGGTGGGAAAGAAAGCTCTAGGCGCAACGCGAAGGGGAAAGAAAGCAACAATCGCGAGTGGAATGCCACATGGCCACATAGTTTAGCAACAATGCTACAGCACTTCCTGCTACAAATCCCTGTGCTACAAGCGAAGGACTCACCTGCCCTCTCCTCTGCCGAAAGTCATCAGCGAGTCGCTGCATGGTGTTGGCGAGTCCCTTGAAAAGAGTCAAACCTACCTTTTCTATCCTCTTCCCTTTAACACCCCACCTGCCCCCTCTTCTGCTGAAAGTCATCAGCGAGTCGCTGCATGGTGTTGGCAGCAATGGTCATGCTGCTGCCCACCACAATGCGACAGCTACTCATGCTTATTCTGCTACAGCCCTCCTATGGATTAAGACCTCACCTGCCCTCTCCTCTGCTGGAAGTCGTCTGCCAGTCGCTGTATGGTGGTGGCAGCAATGGTCATGCTGCCGCCTTCATGCTACAGCCCTTCCTGCTACAGCCCTTCCTGCTACATCCCTTCCATTCCAACTACGATTCCCCGTGCTACAAGATAGGAACCCACCTCTCCCCTCCTCTGTTGAAAGTCGTCTGCGAGTCGCTGCATGGTGTTGGCTGCAATGGTCATGCTGCTGCCCACCACAAGCCCTGAAATGGGAATCACAAACCCTGGTCGCAGCCGAACCACCTGCGATGGGAGTGGTGCGGTGCAGTGCGGTGATGGGGATAAATATGGAAAGAATGATGGGTGTGGTATGGTGCAGTGCGGTGATGGGGGGAGTGAGGTGGACCGAAAGGGGTTAGGCTGCTGCCACCCACCACCAGGCCCGCAATGGAAATCACAAACCCTGGCCACAGGGGAACCACCTGCGATGGGTGTGGTGCGGTGCAGTGCGGTGATGGGGGGAATAAAGTGGATGAAAGAGGGGGGTTACATTGCTGCCACCCACCACAAGACCCACAATGGGAATCACAAACCCTGGCCGCAAGGGAACCACCAGAAGGAGAATGATAGGTGCAATGGGGTGAAGTGCGGTGCGGTGCGTTAAAGCATGGTCATGCTGCCACCCACCAGAAGGCGTGCATTGGGAATCACAAACCCTGGTCGCAGGGAAACCACCTGGGGGAGAAGTGGGAAGAAAGATGATGGGTGCAGTGGGGTGAGGTCAGGTATGGTGTGGTGCGGTGCAGTGCAGTGCGACGGGCCGTGGTCATGCTGCTGCCCTCCACAATGCCCCCAATGGGAATCACAAACCACGGCCCTCCATAGTGCCCCCACCTGAGGACCAGGGGGGTAAACATGCAAGGATGATTAGCGCGGTGGGGTGGAGTGTAGTGCGGTGAGGGAGGGAGGTGGATGGGTACCACGAGGTGCGGCTCACAACTAACCACCCCCCCTGAAATCCAGAATTCCCCAAGCCTTTCCATATTTCGACGGCATGCATATGCCTGCCTGCAAGGTCGCGAGCAGCGACAAGGCAAAGTGGCGGAGGCTCCTATTGCCCAGAGTGCCACCCCCTTACCTCGCAATCTATGGCACACATACCTGCAAGGCTGCAAGGAGAGAGAAAAGGCGAGTGTGACAGCGGCTCCTATTGCGCAGAGCGCCACCCAGAACCCCCCAGCCACCCAGAATCCCTCAAAAGGCGCCCACCCCTCTGTGCCATACCTGCAGGCCCGCAAGCAGAGAGAAGGCGAGTGTGACGGCGGCTCCTATTGCCCAGAGCGCCACCCAGAACCCCCCCGCCACGCGCTTGGCTCTCTTAGACGCTGTGTGTGCTGCTGCCAGCACCTGTGGGATCCACATGGGTTACAGTGCGTTACAATCGGTTCAAATATGCTCAGTGGGTGTGGAAAGGGTGTGGAAAGGCTGACGAGAAATGGGTTAGAGAGGTTCAAATATGCTGAGTGGGTGTGGAAAGGGTGACGAGAAATGCGAGTGTGACGGCGCCTTGTATTGCCCAAAGAGCCTTCCAAAATCCCCGAGCCATGCGCTTGACTCTCTTAAAACGCAGTGTGTGCTGCTGCCAGCACCTGCGAGTTAGAGAGGTTGAGATGGGTTGAGTTGGGTTCAGAGGAGAAGGAAAGATGCAAGGCGCCTCAACAGCCAATTGACCGACCACCTGACAACCAATCTACTCCAGGGCGGCGAGAGCAGGGCGGAGAGAAGGCAGGGAGAGCATGGCGGGTGAAGGGAGTGGAAGGTGTAAATCAATACACTCACCGCAAGTGCCTTTTGAGTCGACTCAAGAGGGAGTGGAAGGCGTAAATCAATACTCTCACCACGAGTGTCCGAGACACTCACCACAAGCACCCCACACACTCACAATGAGCGGCCGACACACTCACCATGAGAACCCCAGACACTCACCATGACCACCCCAGACACTCACCATAATAGCGACTCCAGAACACGCCACTTCCGCGCTTTCTATGGCCACGATGTACTTGATCGCGAATCCAACGGCTGAGAGCTGTGCAGCCGCCCTTATCCCCCCTACAAGCAGATCCGCTGCTGTGTTAACGTCGATCCAGAGGCAGATGGAAAGCGCCACCAGAAACATCACTATGATTGTGATCTGCCTCTCATGTCCCACAGAACTGTACCCCCACATGCCGCCTTGTTCCCCCCACATTCTGGTCTGGGGTGACGTCTGGGTTGACTCTAGTAATCTTTCCGAGTTGTATGTACCGCATTGCTCCCCCAAACTGGTTGCGGTGACGCCTCCGTGCACTGTACTGCTTCTAAGAAAAGTGCCTTGCAACAGTGTACTGTTTCTAAGACGAGTGCCTAATTGTAGTGTACTGCTGCTTCTCGCGTACTTTTGTCTAATTCCCAGGCTTCTGGTCAAGAATCGTTCAACTCCCAACCTTTTAGCCAAGTGTCTCCCGATTCTGTCTCTTCTAGCAGCTAAGCACTGCTGCTCCGCTCTTGATGCCGTTAAGGCTGCATCCGTGTCAGGCCCCATAAAAAAAGCCCCCGAGGCCTCAGATACTAGGAATTCATCACTCGTTATAGCATCATTCGCTATAGCATCACCCGCTATAGCACATTGTCTCTCAAGCGCCCCGGCATCAGAGCCGTCCCATGACGTCGCACTGCCGTCCCTACTCGATGCGTTGCTCGCAGTGTGATTCGCGGCGATATTCGCGGCGACATTTGCGTAGACATTCCTCCCCTGGGAACACGGAGCAAAATTGGTGCGACTTAATCTCCTCACGCGCAATGCCGCACTGACTGCTGATGCTGATTCACCACCCACTATTCCGTGCACTCTTAACGGGCATGCATCACGAAAACCTCGCGAAATTGGCTGAGAGCGAGGATGGTTTATTCGGCCGGAAAACTGAGCATATGGCGATTCCTGAGCATACAGCAGAGAACTTTCTGGCGGTTTTGCTGGAGGAATTGATGACGAAGCTGCTGACCGAGTTGCGGCTCCTGTCAGGGTCGCAGCTGTTACTGCAACTGCAGTGCGAACCGCGAAGACTCTCCTTGGCCTCCGCGCAGTCTTCGTGGTAACTGCTGCGTTACAAGCCGTTGCGTTAGTGGCTGTTGGATTGGTAGCAGTCAATCCTTTCATTTCTTACTGCGGGCGATGGCGAAACGCCTAACGGAGCGGGAATGGTCGGCCTCCGTGCCGCCTTGACGGCAACTTTGAAGAGAAATAGGACTGCCGTGCAATTGCCGCGCAATTCCCGTGCGACTGCTGTGCGACTGCCGTGTGGCTGCCGTGCGGGCTGCCGTGCGACGCGACTACCCTGCGGCTGCCGTGCAACTGCGAACGTTCAAGTCACATGCTTGCAATTTTGTCGCGTCATTTAGCACACGAGCCTGCCTTCGTTCACTGGGAGACTGCGACGACGCCGCGACTCGCGATAACGCGTCAACTTGAAATGTGCGAATTCCAAATCCTAAATGCGGACCGACGCTGCACACGACGTATGGATTCCTAATTACAGAAGGCACGCTCTGCGAGTCAAGAAGCGTTTCCTCTCAGGAGGAGAAAGACAACAACTATTTCCGTCTAGGAACGCAATTTAGTCACCTAACGGCTCTCTGGACTGATACTGCCAGCCATGAAATCAGCCAGGATATGTGAAGGATGGATGATAAATTGCAGATCCCCATTTCATGCTAACCCTACTCAATCCCTTCCAAAATGTCCTAGCTCATCGTTTTTGCCAAGTTCGCAAAAAAATCGCCCACTACAGTGCTGCAGTGAAATTCAACTTGGTTCAGTCCATGGTGCAGCAGGGTGCTGCTGGGATCTGTGGCTCTTCTTGATTCTTGACGGGTTACAGAAGGGTGAGCTCGCGAACCAATCAGAGTGCCCTGGTTACGCCGGCACTCGAACGAACCTTATCTGTTCACCCAGCGAACGCGTTGTTCCGTGATTGGGTATAGCAGCCATGTTCACTGCTCCTTAGGTAATCTGTTCTAGCTACAAGGTCTCTATGTATGTTTTTGTGGTGAAAAAAATGAATTATTTGCGTACAAAATCTACAAGATCCTACATCCAAAGAAAGTCTCACCAAGTTTCTAGCAGCTGTGCATGACTATGAAAAAACTGGGGGGCAGCTAGAAGAGCCGACACAATACACGACAGGGAAAGCGCCCCCAACAAAAGAAAAGTGATTGTAATCTGCAGGTTGACTGCTTCTTGTGGAGACGCTCCCCCCATGATCATCCCAGTCATGGAGCCTGGGAGCTGAATTATCCCCACAGTCTTGGTGTAGTCTATTGTAGGACCGAATCCCACGGCTACGGCTCGTTTGATGAGGGGAAGAGAGGCTTCCCATTGGCTAGCGCCTAGGGCAAGTGCTGCCTCTAGCTGTATTGGAGGGGACAGAAGGGTGCGAAGAGACGAGAAGGGGTTGGGGATGGAGGAGTGTGAGTGTAATCTGCACATTCACGCTTCTTGGGGAGATGCTCCCCCCATGATCATCCCAGTCATGGAGCCTGGCAGCTGAATTATCCCCACGGTCTTGGTGTAGTCTGTAGTGGGGCCGAATCCCACGGCTACTGCCCGTTTGATGAGGGGAAGGGAGGCCTCCCATTGGCTTGCGTCCAGGGCCAATGCTGCCTCAAGCTGGAAGGGGAACGGTGGAGGGAGTTAGAGACATTGAATAAGGGGAAGGATGGCATGAGAAGCAGAGTTGACGGTGAAAGGGACCAGAAAGGCCGGTTTCAGATGAATTAGGAGATGGGAGAGATTGGGGGTGGAGAAACGGGCAGGCGGTGGGAATGGGTGGGAAGGAGTGAGGATGGCGTGAGAAGAGGGGTTTATGGTGAAAAAGGGACTAAGGCACGGCACGGCAATGATTCCGTCCCTCTGTTCCTTCCCTCAATTCCTTCCCTCTATTCCTTCCCTCTCGCCCATTCCCCCAGTTTCTTTAAAGGCGTTTGGAGAGCGCCTGTGTGGAGTGAGGGGACTGTTGACACAGCAGTAAGTAAGGCTGTGACGTGTACAGGGACTCCGGCACGCCATGTTGTTGCTTCTCTCTTGCTTATTCTCCCGGCTCTTTTTGCTATGCAAGCCTTTTGTCGAGCTAGTCATGATGCATCTCTTTTGGTGAGCTTCCTCATCTGTCTGCTCCTCTGCGTAAAGCTGTCACCGAGTCACTGCATGGCATTGGCAGTTCCCCCCCCCCCCCCCCCCAACGTCTGTTTACAGCTGATCATTCAAGACGCACCTGCCCCCTCCTCTGCTGGAAGTCGTCTGCGAGTCGCTGCATGGTGTTGGCTGCAATGGTCATGCTGCTGCCCACCACAATGCCCCCGATGGGAATCACAAACCGCGGCCGCAGCCGAACCACCTGAGAATAAGAACAACGTAAAAGGAAAAAAAAGGGGGGAATAAAGGAGGATGTCCGGTGCAGTGTACGAATCCCAGCTCACCCCTCAGCCCATATGCCGCCCTCCAGAACCTCAAACAGTATGTTTAAAACAAGTCTCGCATGTAGGCTGCTGAGGAAAGAGTGCAGTCGAGTCACCGTGCCAGTTGTTACTACCACAGGCGCCACCCGCAACCCCAGCTCGTGATGCCATTCCATCCCTCAATACCCCAATGAAACCCTGACAACAGGCCTAGGGCTATTCGAAGAAGTGTTTTGAGACGTCTCAAAATACCCCAATGAAACCCTGACATGACAACAGGCCTAGGGCTATTCTCACTTGCAAGCTGACGAGGTCAGAACGCAATCACAGGGCTAGTTGCTAATGCCACAGGCGCCACCCACAATCCCAGCTCGTCATGCCATCCCTCAATATCCCGCTCTTCTGGAGTCCTGGGGCTGCCTTTCTCACCTGCAAGCTGACTAGGAGGGACAGCGCAGTGACAGTGCCAGTACCCACCGCCACCAGCTAACCTCTACTGCCACATCAACACCACCCACAACCCAAACTCGTCATCCCATCCCTCACCTGCAGGCTGACTAAGAGTGACAGCGCAGCGACAGTACCAGTCGCCACCACCACCAGCGCCACCCAGAAGCCCCGAGACACTGATTTGATTCAACACTCTAATAACCCTAATCCGGAGGCCCGGGGCAGGTCTCACCTGCAAGCTAACGAGGAGAGAGAGCGCAGTGACAGTGCCAGTAGCCACCGCCACCAGCGCCACCCAGAAGCCTCGTGGCACTGACTTGGCTCTCCGGGAGGCTGTGTAGGCTGCTATCACGATCTGTGGGGGGAAAAGGAATCGACAATAGAAGAGAGTGAGCACAGAGAAGCGGAACGGATAGTGGATTGGGAATGGGGCCGAGTGCACAAGGGAAGGGGTTAAGTGGGAGTGAAGTGCGGTGGCGGGTTAGAACGCGAGGGGTATATTTGAGTGTGACAAGGCAAGAGGGAGGGGAAGGGGGGTGACGAGGGGTACGAGGCAAGACGAGGGGAAGGGGGGGAAGGGGGAGGCGGGAGGAGGGGGGGGGAGAGGGGAGGGGTGGTGTGAGGGCGATGAGGCAAGAAGTAGGGAGGGTGGGTGGGGGAGGAGGGGAAGAGGGAATTGAGGAGAGGGGGGGAATGGGGGAATGGGGAGGGGGGAGTGGCGGGGAGTGGTTTTGGTACATGAATGCCATCACCTTCAACAATTTAGAAAAGTGAAGCCCACGTTTTTTTTTGCCTCGTGTTCAGTTCATTCCCCTCAAGTTCATCTCCCCTCACGTTTATCCCCCCCCCCCCCCCCCCCCCCTCCCCCCCCCTCACTCATTCCCCACCACCTTCATCCCCTCCCACGTTCCCCCACGTTCATCCCCCCCCCCCCCCCCCTCCCCCCATGCATTCCCCCCCACATTCCACCCCCCCACATTCATTCCCCCTTCCCTAATCAGCCCCCCTTGCACGGGCTCTTACCATGACTGCCACGGCAACAAAGACGGGATGCGCGCTGTCAACGGTGAAGATGTATTTGAGCCCCAATCCAACGGCTGTCAGCTGCACGAACGCCCTCGTACCCGATACAAGCAGGTCCGTTGCGGTTTTCACGTCCAACCAGAGGCACACGGAGAGGGCTACGAGGAACAGCATGGCTGTAGCTAGGTGCCGCTCGGTTCCCATGGGTGC